CAGTCATTCTGCCATCACAGTATTACCAACAGCGAAAGCAAGTATAGAGTAGTTCAATCGATAAAAATTATCCAACTCACCTGAAAGATCGTTAAAGCGCTAACCAATGTTATTGAAATGAATTGCGTCGAAAATTTGAAATCTAAAAGTGAAATTCAGATAAAGTTAAAACAGATTTTTCAACAAACGACTGCCAGTGGGTGTCATTTAAATCATCTCCTTATTCAAATGGTTCCTGCTCGCGGCTCAAAGACATAGCGCGAACAAAACATCTTTACCTTTCCTTGGTTTGTAGAAAAGAAGAAGCAGCCTTGAAAACCAGTTTAATCCAACCATATTCCCCCTGTTTGAAGCAACACAAAAAGAAATTATACCACCAATCCCAAGTAATTAGGAAATCATGATCATCTGAATGAGTTTACGCAAAAACGAAAGAAATATGTCAGTTGATTCATTCATCACCAATGTATGCATCAATCCCACGTTTATGTTATCGTTGGTGATCGATGGGCAGCTCGAACAGGACAGCCTTACACGTAGGCCAAAGGAATCAAGTCTGATTGGAGCGCTTTCCAGACCAATCACAAAGAGTAATGAGTGAATTGAAAGATTCAAGTATAAATCTAAAAGCGTTTAGTCAAAAATTCTGCATTCTGATTGGCTTCGCTAATCCTTCATTATTTAGCAATAAGAGTGCAAGATTTCTATTTGAGCAACAGACCGAACTTTCCATCGGTGTACCGGCATAGTAACCTACTTGAGTTGTTGGGAGAATACGAGAAAAGTTTGTAAATCACTCACCTCAGGCTCTTTATCAACAATTTTATCCAGCTTTCTTTTAACATCCCAAACCTATAAAAACTGCGGTCTATTGCTTTTACAGTATAACTTAGAACAAAGCAGATGGCTTATCCAGTACAATAAACGGTAGGGTTTTAACCAATCAGGGCGTAGTAACTAAGTTATTCCATAGCGCACAGCAGTTACGAATGCAATATCTGAATCAATCATAACGCAGAGAAAACCACAAGCGACATATCATATTGGTTTAGAATAAACCAACAACTCGTAGAAAACTTAGCAACAAGACAGGCTGGTGTTTTTGTCCTCTTTGTTTACAACCATATAGTGTCAGGCTAATCCCTTAAAAAAAACTAACTCTCTATCACAACGCTGATAGATGTATTCTGTACCAGGTCACTTCTCCGACA